TATGTAGAGTATCACATCATCTACAAATAATTTAACTTCCTTTCCTATCTTTAGTCCTTTGATTTTTTTTCTCATCTAATTGTTCTGATGTTTCCAGAACTATATTCAATAGGAGTAGTGATACTAGACATCCTTGTTTTGTTCCTGAATTTTGAGTGAAAACTTTCAGTTTGTAACCATTTAATATGCTCTTGGCTTTTGGTTTGTCATAGATGGGTTTTGTAAAATTAAGGTAGAGATCATGTTTCAATTTTCTGTAGGGTTTCTATCATGAATTGGTGTTGACTTTGCCAAATGCTTTTTCAGCATCTCATGATTATGTCATTTTTGTCTTTGCTTCTGTATATGGTGTATTGCATTTATTGATTTGTGCATATTGAACCATTCTTGCATCCCGGGTCTGAATCCTACTTGTTCATGATGTATAATCTTGATGGCTTTTTGCATTCTGTTTGCCAGTATCTTATTGTTTTTGCATCAATGTTCATTAGGGAGATTGGTCTGTAGTTTTCTTTCTTGGTTGAATTCTTCTCTGGTTTTGCAATCAGGGTAATACTTCCTTCCAGGCATTATTTTAGAAGTATTATTTCCCTTTCAATTTCATTGAAGAGTTCCAGCATTAGTGGCATTAGTTCTCTAAATTTCTTGTAAAATTCAGCAGTAAATCTGTCAGGGCCTGGCTTTTTCTTCATTGGTAAATTTTAAATGGTATTTTCATTATTGGCTGATATTGATTTATTTAGATTTTTTTTTTATCTTCTTTAGTTTTGGCAATTTGGTTGTATCTAGGAATCTGTCCATTTCTTCTGTGTTTTACATCTTATTAGAATATAGTTTCTCATAGTAGGTAGTGAGGATTTCCTGAATTTTTGTGGGATCTGTTCCAACTTTCCCCTTTTCCTAGTTGCTTGAATTTATGTTTTTTCTTCCCTTTTAATGAAGTTAGCTAATAGTTTACTAATTTTATTTATTCTTTCAAATGACTTTTTAATTCACTGATTCTTTGTATTGTTTTCTTAGTCTCCACTGCATTATTTTCTCCTCTTACCTTTATAATTTCCTGCCTTGTACAGGCCATGGATTTGATTTGTTCTTTTTCTGGAAGTTTGAAGTTCAATATTAGATTAGTTAAGCTTGATCTGTTTTGTGATTATCTGAGTTTATTGCTATACATTTCCCTCATTAGACTGTTTTCATTGCATCCCATAGATTTTGGTATGTTGTACCAGCATTAAGTAGATATACTTTTTAAATTCCATTCTTGATTTCCTCCACGACCCATTAGTTGTTCAGAAGGTGTTTCATTTCCAGTTGCTAATTTTTCCTAGTTTTTAAAAATTTTTTTTTATATATTTGGCACAGGGTCTTACTCTACAGATCAGATTCATGGTGATCCTCCTGTTTTCAGCACCCCCAGTGTTAGGATTACAGGCATGTGCCACTACACATGGAATATTTCAGTCACTGGTTCAGCATGCTCTGGGAGTGGGGACACTGTGGCATGTGGGACCAAGGATTGAACCCAGGTCTCTGCGCTTGCCAAAGCAGGCGCTTTTTCTGCTGAGCTATCTTGCCATCCCTCCATGTGTTAATGTAGTTTTTGTGCTTTCCTTTGTCATTGATTTCCAGTTTCATTGAGCTATGGTCAGAAAGTATACATAGAATGATTTCTGTTCTTTTATATGTACTTAAGCATGTTTCATCAACTAACATATCCATTTTGGAGAATGACCCATATGCAGCTGAAAGAATGTATATTCTGATGTTCTGTGGTGGAACACTCCACATATTTACTAAGTCTATTTGTTCACAGGCTTTAATTCTAATACTTCTTTTTTGATTTGTTTTTCTAGTTGATCTATCCATTTGTTAGACTGGGGTATTAAAGTCCTCCACTACAATTGTGCTAGTATTTTCATGTCAGTTAATATCTGTTTCACTACATACTTAAAATTGTTCCTCTTTTTGGTATTTTCACTTAAGTATGTAGTGACCTTCTTCGTCTCTTTTGATCAGTTTTGGCTTGAAGTTCACATTCTTTGCAAACAACAGCTACCCCTGTTTGATACCCAGTTAAAAAAAAAAGTCACATGTACTATGCCCAACAAAGATTTACCAGGGAAACTAAAAGAGGTGGAAATGTAACAGAAAATGTACCCCCACCCCACCATCATCCCAGTCAGTATACTTTTGTTTCTTAGTTGGTGAGGTAATAGTTCCTGTTCTACTTCTGGGTATTTCCGTTTCTTAGAAATGGTCAGTCACTGTGATGAATAGCTGGTCACTATTATGCACACTATAAACCAATCCCCACCTGAAAAGCCATTCTGCCTCTGTACTTCCTGCTTGCTTATCCCATAAAAGCCCTAGACCACTAGAAATCAGAGTCTGATATTTTGGGAATGATCTCAATCTATGCCCACTGATGTAAATAAATCTGTCTCCAAATTCTGGGAGTTGTTTTACTGTTTCTGCTTGCCATTGCACTACTATTCAGTTGTGTTCAACTTTTTTTTTTTTTTTTTTGCCTACTGAATCTAATGTTTCCTGATAAAGTGCTTCAGTTTACAAATTTTGATGACCTACTGCTAAGCACATACACATTGATAGCTGTCTTTTTGGAATATTGAGCCTGTTACCATTATGTAATGCTCTTTACCTACAAAGCTTTTTTAAAGTATGCTCTAAAATAGTCTTACTTTATTAATGTAGTGTATCTTTCTCTCTCCTTTTACTTGTGACTATTAAAGTGGAATTTTTAAAAATGTATTTGGTTATCGCAGGGTCTCACTACACAGCTCAGACTTGTGGTGATCCTCCTGCTTTCAACCTCCCCAGCGCTGGGATTACATGCATGCGCCACCACCCCAGACTCTGGCCAGCTACGTCTGTCCTAGGGGTGGGCTGGCGTAGCACATGGAGCAGGGATCGAACCCGTGGTCCCTGCACTTGCCTAAGCAGGGTCTTTAGTCTGCTGAGCTATCTCACTGGCCCTAACGTGGATTTCTTATGGAAAGTGCTTCAGTTTCCAAATTTAAATGACCTATTGGTAAGCACATACATGTAGTTTGGTCTTTTTCTAATCTTCTTTGGCAGTAGACCCTACCTACCTACCTTTTAATACTGGGAATTAAATCTGGAACCTTCACAGTGAGATACAGTCCCAGATATATTTTTTTTAAGATAGGTTCTTGCTAAGGGGTGAAGTGCACTAGGCAGGGCTTGAATTTGTGAGCCTCCTGCATTAGCCTCACATAGTGCTGGGATTACAGATGTGTGCCATCATGCTTGGCTGACAATTTAAATGATGGGTAGTGTTTACAGGTGTTCAGTGATCACTGACAGTTATATTAATATCTGTATTTATTACTGTTGCCCTTGCTCGTTTTTTGTAAAAATCTTATACTTTTTCTCATTTTTATAGTTTTCTTTTATATGGTTTCATATTCAAATTTCGTATTTCTAATATGGTTTATGTTCTTCATAGAAAACCTTCTGACCAAGTCATTTTCCTTCTGATGGACTTAAAAACCTGCAAAGCAGATCTACTGGCAAAAAAATCTCTGAAGTTCTAAGTATTTTTTCTTTTCATTTTTAAGGGGTAATATTGCAAAATATAGAATTGTAGGTTGGAGAGGATACCTACCCCCTCAAAACTAGCTCTTCAATGCTAGTGTTTGACTTTTAAGACATTTATAACAATGAAACATGATAAAATTTTCTCTACAAATTCTCATTCCTTGAATTTTGCTAGGTGACACACATCAATTTCATGCGAAAATTTTTAAAAGCTGCAATCTTCAGCATGATTTGGTATTTCACTTGACTGTCTTCCTGCAAGGTTTCTGAGAAATCAGATGTTTTTCTTCTTTTTTTAATCTTAGCTCTTCTTCAGGTAAGGTGTTCTGTCTCCTTAAAAGTTTTTACAAGATTTTGTCTTCTTAATCACTGTTTTCTGAAATTTAAACAGGCCTAGTTGTATGTTTTTGTTTCCTGGTTTGGCATTTATCTTGTTTGTTGTTCTTTGACCTGTGTGGAGGTCTGGTTTGGTATTTAACATCAGGAGAAAGTCTCAGCTTAAGATACTGCTTTTGTTCCTAATATTTCCATTTCTGGCATCTTATTATTAATATGTATATTATTTTTTGGTACCTGGCATCAAACTCACCACCTCATGCTTGCCAGGCAAACACTGTGCCACTGAGTTATAGGCTAAGGAAATTCCTGGTCTGATGGTTTTAGTATCACAGCCATATATGACTGATTCTGATGCTTGTCAGGTCTTTTCAAACTGCTTTATAAGGCCTTATAGTATACTATGTAATTTTTTCTGGGGGAGCATAATGTATTGGGCAAAAGGAACTGCGGTAAGTAGGGGGACAAAAAGTACTATTTAGTTCTCATCATGGCTTAATTTTGTGGGCTCTGTGCTGTTGACCAGTTAACTAATGTTTCTGTCTCACCTTCCTGTCAGGAGGGACAAAGGTCAGTGCATTCAGTATTTCCCTCTTCCCTGGTAAATTAGGCTCCTGTAATTATACTACTTATGAGGCACCCCTTATTAAGGACAATGTGTTTAAATGTGGATCTTCTTCCCTTTCCACTTAAAGCATTAAGGTGTTTTGGGTTTTTAAAAATATTTATTATGAGGATCTGGTATAAATCCTTAAAGTATTGTAACACAAATAACTTTGTAATAAATTAGTTAAAATATGCACCATAACTCCTTTCCCCTGCATGACTGGGTCCTAAGAGTTTTTAACTCAAATTTGTGCACACTAAGCATCCCAACAATTTGTGCATTAGTTTAATTTTCTTACCCCAGCACTGGCTTCTATGGACATTTCTACTTGTTCCTTTTCTGGTAAGGTGTGATACTTGGCATTCACGTGTATGCCCTATTTCTGAAACATTTAGTCCTTTGATGCTTTTCTGAGCCAACTTTTTTTTTGCTTGTTTACATTTTTTTGTCTTTAATGTTGTATTTTCCTTATTCCAAGGTGAAGGAGGCACCTCATGAAGCTGAGATGGTGTTCATAGCAGGCTGCCCAGCAACTGTGACCTTCCAGGCAAATGTTGACTCCTGGCGGGAACAGGAGAAACAGGAGCCATGATGGTGGGGATACTGATTGGAGTGTTTGTGCTGTGTTGGATCCCCTTCTTTGTGACTGAGCTCATTAGTCCCCTCTGTGCCTCCACCCTCCCCCCCATCTGGAAAAGTGTATTCCTGTGGCTTGGCTACTCCAATTCTTTCCTTAACCCCCTGATTTACACAGCTTTTAACAAGAACTACAACAATGCTTTCAAAAGCCTCTTTACCAGGCAGAGATGAAAGGGACTGGAGACATGGGCGGGGTTGTGAGAAGCAAATGAACTTGCATCTATCAACTTCAGTGATCTGGGAGCCTTCCCTCAAACTTAAACACTAATGTTCTGAAAATCATGCTGTTAGGCCTGGACTATGGAATTAGCTGTGCCATACACTTGCTGCCTCAAGGACAGCCAAAGTTTGGCAACAGGTAACTATGCCCTCTTCTCCTACCTATAGCAGGCATTGCCAATGGATGACTGTACGTCTTCCCACTAAGAAGGAACTCTAAAATTCTTTTCAGGACAACACTTGAGGTAGTTATTGTTAATGGTTAGTACTGACACAAGGTTCAAAGCTGACTTCCTTTCCTTTATGAAGGTCTCTCAGGCCGCTCTAAAGACACTCTTTGTGAAAGACCTCCCTTTCCCACTCACTGATTGCAACTTAACTTTCCTCAAGTTACTATGCATCCCCCCAAAGGCAGATAGCATAATGTCTCCACTGATAAATGTTTCTGTTTGCAAACAACTTCACTCGCCAACAAAAGCATTCAGAAAAATATTGCTTCTGTTAACAAATTCCCCATCAGGTCACAAACATCTTCCCCAAAGTCATAAAACAAAGTGATCAAGGTACCACTGTATATCCCAATTTGCAGGAAGGATCATGTTTTATTAGCAAACTTGTCTCATGCCTATTGAATTAGACTCTAAAAGTCTGGTGATCTGTTACATTCTATGATTATTTTTTAATCAGACAGATACTGCTTAATACTTAAGTTCTTTAGTCAGACTAAACTGGCATTCCTAGTGGATGACTTCGGCAGCAGCACTTTTAAAAGCTTACCACATGATTCCAATGTGTAGTCAGGCTTGAAAAACCGTGGTTAGGTTTTGCTCTGTTTTCACCACTTGGGAGACTGGAGAGAATCTTTCCCATTACTTCACCATAGTAACTTGTATGGGTAATAAAAATACTCTCGAGGCATCCTTGTGAAGGTTCTAAATAATTTCTGTTTCTGTCACACACACCCAATTGGGGGAATATCTGTTGTAGGACTCAAGAGCACTACCAACAAAACCTGTAGGTTGTTAATCTTGGGTGAAAGACACTGGGAGTAATCTTCAGCTCTGTTCTCAGTAATTGTATCCAACAACAAAATCTAAGTGGCAGATAATAATAGGCCTTTATTTCTTGCTGATATGCTTGTGATTGGCCTGAGGTTTCACTTCCTTAGCTGGACTCTTCTGGACTTGGCTTCAAGCTACAGATTAGGTCTATGTCTGCTTCATGTGTCCGTCATACTCCTTGGGCTGACAGGAAACATTTTACTCAAGAGAACAGGTCAAGCTACACAGACATATTTTAAAAGCCACACAGACATATTATAAAACTTAAGTCAAAGCTATATATGGTGGAAGTTCAAGGCCAGCCTGAGAAACTTAAGTGAGTATCCTGGGATCTCCCAAAAATGGGTGACAGGAGGACTGGTTAATCCAAAGTCAAGCAAAAACCCAAAGTGAAGGGACAGGGGAAAAAAACACCCTTTTCAAAGGTATTTGGTATGATGAATGGCAAACAGTAATTCAATGTCCAACATTTTAAAATAGAAGGGGAAAAACACAGTATAATACAGAAAGGGTAAATCTTAGTATTTTTATCTGGCTTATTACAGTATTCTTAAAGGGGCTCTGTATAGTCTATTAACACAGCCTACAGAGGGAACTCACTGAAATGAAGCCAAGTCACATTGTTTTTGTTTTCAAGCTTTCCACAGCCTTCCCACAAGTCTGTTTAAAGTTCCCCAAACCGATCTGGGTATAACTCAGGAACTTTATACCTGATATTCCCTCTGAATATCAAGGTATTTTCACTGGTAATATCAAGGTAATATCACTGGTATTTTCTTTACTAGATTTCTATGGGACTTACTCCTTCAACTAATCAGTGACTGAAGCCTTCTCTTGCTGCTCAATATAAAACTGAAACTATAGTGGCACCTCAGTTCACAAAATTAATTATTTCCACAATTCTGGTCTCAAGGAATTAGACAAGAACCAAATCAAATTCAATGGCCAGGTTCAATGTTGATTGTATACAGAAATTTTATTTGACAAAGGAGAAACTCAAATATTTCTTGGTTGAAAGTAACAGTTAACAGAATTTTCTCATGGAACAAGAATAGGAGGCAAGTGGTCCCTTGGTTGGTTTAGCTCATCATGCCTTCATAGAGACAAGCTCTTTCCAACTTTTTGCTCTTCTAAGTTGTCTTGTCAGAATGTCCCTTCTCTCAGTCTCAGGATGAAATTGCTCATTCTATTGTCTTTTTTTTTTTTTTTTTTTCTTTCCAACAACTTGACTAAAAAGGGCAGCCAGAAGCTCACCTGATACACAATGTGCTGATCACTAGCAAGACTTTTCTGGGAAGCTTTGTGGTTTTCCCCCTACTGGCCATAACTGGGTGTGATACCTAGCTGGAAACCAACTTTTGGCAAGCAGAAATAGCATTCCCATCACGTTTTTTTGTGATTCCTCCTCTTGTGCTGGACAAAGCTGGAGTTCTACTGGTCAGGAAAGAGGAACAGGAAGAATCATCCCAGTCATTTCCTGGCCTGGCTTTTGGAAGATGCTAACAGCTCCCCTTGGACTCAGAGGTACCATCCCCAGCTTTTGTATGCCAATGATAAGGAATAATGGTTGTGCTGTTGATTTTTTTATGAGATGCAGGCAACTTTGTAACAGCTTTAGCCTGTTCACATTTTTGTTTTCTTTTCTCTCTCTTTTTTCTTTTTTAATGTATTTGGTGCAGAGTCTCATTACACAGGACTCATAGTGATCCTCCTATTTTCATAGTGATCCTCCTATTTCTTTCCCTGCCACCTAAACACATAGTGGACAGAGCCAACCACTTGCTATTTCACCTTCTCAAATGTGTTCTCCCAGGAGAAGACAGCCACTTTTGTACTGGTCCACTGACTCCAAGACCAAAACAACTGGGTTAAATTGCTTTAACTCAAGAGCTTTATCTTTCTTAACAAAGCACATTTATGGAATCAGGATCACACCCCTTTTTTTGAAAACGAAATCAAAATTTATAAACCATTTATTTTTGAATAATATATGTACATAGTACAAAATTTAAAAGGTACAAAACGTATACATTGAAAAGTTATTTCCTCTCTTTGTAAAGGCAAACAAAGTCTCCAGGTTGTTGTGTGTAGCCTCCCAGAGATATGCTAAGCATATAAAAGCAGGTATCTACTATAACGTGTGCGTATGTACATACACATACAAATACATACATTTTCCTCCATTCCAAACACTACTATACCACATACCTCCCTCTCCCCACTTATACATAGTAGTACACGCAGATTGGCTCAGTTCTTTTAATAAACAAAATACTCCCATTAGGGGAATTAACCATAATTTATTTCACTATTGCTCTATATTGATGGTAGTTTTCAACTTTTTGTTATTACAAACAATGCTTTAATATAAATCCTTGTACATAGGAAAAATGCTTAGATGTAGCACTGCTGGTTCAAAAGATTGTGCATGTGCACTTGTGAAATATGTTGTCCAAGAAGTTGTGAAATCCATACTTTTGCAAAGGCTGTGTTTAAGTGCTGTTTCCCACAGCCCTGTAGCAGCATTTCACTTCTTGATCTCAGGAGGCTGAGACATTTTCTGCTGGGCAAGTTACCTTCAGATTCATTACCTTCAGATTCATGTAATATTTCGGATCAAAATACACCCAATGATGTTACCTCACAGTGTGCACTATTCCTCTTTTTTCCTCCTACCTTGGGAGAAAAGGTTTGAAAACTCTGTACCTTATTTTCATCCTGACCTTCAAGGTTAAAGAATAACAAATATACTTTGAGGGAATTACTGAGCTGACAAATACAACTGCCAACCTGTTTTAAACAAAGCATACAGTTATAAGAAAGGTTAACCCTAAATTTTGCTAATACAGGGATGCAAAGCTGCAATTTATGCAAGCAACATTCCAGACCATCTACCTGAGCCAGATGCTGGGCAGACCATGGCAAAACAGGCTAGATCCTTGTTTCTTGTTTTTATCTTTATATTATCCAGAAGAAAAGCCAGGTAACAAACCTGGCAAGACATTTAAACAGTGCATGTACTATAAAGACAGAGCAGGGGATGGGCAGAACAAAATCAGAGTGGAAGGCCAACAACAAATACGTCTGCATACGTATTAGGCAGTCAGGGAAAGCCACTTTCCAAGATCTTGAAGGAGAAAGAACTTTAGGCAGAAGGAACATCAGGCCAACATCCATGAAGGCCTAAGCTTGGCTCCTGGGGGGACAGGGGGAACTGATATAAGGCTTACGTGGGGAGTCAGAGAATTCCCCATGTTTTCAAATATGCTGCAGACCAGCTATTAAATCCTGATTAATAATCTTACACAATATATTTACTGTGAGGGGGAGATATATATATATATATATATATTTTATTTATTTATATATATATATATTTGTAGTATTTCAGATTATTGCCATGTGCTATAAAAAGGTCTGCTCTAAACTGAGTGTAGAAAAAGGTGGTATGGGGGATTCTGAAGGTGGATAAAACAAAGCATTTCCCCTAGGCAATGCCCCACCACAGGGACAGACAATGGCACCCACCCTACTGGGCTTTCATTGTATGTTTGTATCATGTTATTTTACCTTGTGTTCAGCACTGACCATAAATAAGTAATAAAGAGCTTCCTTAACGTGTTCTATCTCAATACATATTTCAGTCCAACAATATGCACTTCACAGTAAGAGACAGGCATTCTAGCAATAACTTTTATTAGTTACTTTGGCTGAGTCCTATTTCCCTATTAAACTGATCATTAGTCACCCAAAAAGTAGCTAAGACAAGACCATACTAAGCAGCAGAAACTCAGGTGGCACAAGTTGTAGGCCACAGCTGACTGTGCCAAGTGTTCTTTGAGGTACATTGGCTTTAGTCAACACAGATGTGTTGGGGATGTGCTAATGTGACATCATCAAAGTCATGGAGTGCCATCTTGTAAGACAGTGAAGTGCTGTCTCATGGCCTTCACTATGTTCTACTCAGTTATTCAGGAAGCTGCAAGGGTTGTGCTGTTATGAGGGACTATTTCTTCAGTCTAGGGGGGGAAACACCTCCAACCTGTACTTCTACTGTCTCCTAATTCTATGACCAGACTCAGTAGACGTGGACATGGCTCTAGGGCCTGGCTAATCTCACAATATGGGCTAGGAACCATAACCCAGTTAAAAATCAAGTATGTCAGATTACAACAAAACTTATGACTAACAAGCTTGGAATTTGCCCTCTGTTATAAGAAAGGATACTCCTTTATGACTTTTCTAATATAAGGTACATGTACTTTCCTCTAGTGCTGCAGGCCATCCTGTATCTGCAAGGACTGGACACAGGACAAAGATAAACATCTAGGTATCTACAGACATGCTGCTTTTTGGATTATATCACAATATCCAATATAATCCAATATGAAGCCATGTATGCTCCATGAAATGCACATGAGAAAGATATGCAGGGCCCTAGACACCCAGCCCCATTAGTGGGCTTAGTGTTCTGGTAACGATCTGCTTTTTCCTAAGCACACATTCATAAACAATAACTTAAGAATGTTGTCCCTTCATTATACTTTTGGAAAATCTCTTCAATTCAGTGAAATACAATAATGTGGTATCTCTGTGCTTAGAGAAATACAGCCCTGGGGTGACCCTTGCCCCTACCATCATGAGTGGCTCCTGAAATGACCATGGACCCCAGCGCACTATTTTGGCTTTTAAGGCCTGATTGTACTGCCTGCCTAATGCCCTAATTACTCATGACAGTACCCACAAATGCAGGCTGTCTGCAGCAACCATGGAATTCTTAAGAATAGCGACTGCAGTCTAATTTAAAGTATGTTCAAGCAATGAAGATTAATTAGGTTTTATAGATGAAAAAATGGGAAAAGGCATCTGTCAATACTTCCCTACACCAAAATAAAGGACTCCACTTTCAAAAAGCATTATTCCCTGCTCTGGATCAGTCATGCTATACTTTCCCCCAATACAGACAGGTAGAATCCACAAACTGTAGAATACTACCTGCTCCTGCTTCCCTAAAACCTGTGGACAGATACTTAAATGATCTCCCAGTTGCTCACGAAGTGTAGTTAGCCAGATATGCAATGCTGTGTGCACTGTGGGGGTATATAAGCTTCTTTACATGGTTAATACAGATGTTTTTCTGAAATTGAAATAATTGTAAACATAGTAAATTGTTGCTATCTCATCTTCAAAATGGCACTTTAAAAAAAAAATACCAACTTCACCTTCATTGAACCTCTTCAGAATTTCCACATGGCCATGGCTCAGGAAGCAGTGGAAGTGGATATGCACAAGGCTATGAATTGCTCTGGCGCAAGGAGGTGCCATCTTAGCTGCTGCTGCTGCTGTTGCTCTCACAGCATCTTGCTGGCCCTGGCACAGAAAACACTGGTGGTATTAAGGCAGAGTGGGATGTTCATAAGTTTGTACCTCTCAGACCTTCATAATCATATACCTTAGAGAACTACAAATGAACAGTGTTTCTGTGACTGATAAACATTCCACTTGCCTAACGTGTCCAAGCTTCTGCATTATAGTCCAAACCTGCTGACTGGAGAGTGCCTATGTACAGGTTTACATAACATGCAGTACAAACCTACACTGGGGTACACGGACCAAGACTGAACTGCTGATTTCCAAGAGCCAAGGAAGGAACTCTTTCTTTTTCCTTTGGACTGCTCCTTTATAAGGACAAAACTATCAGTTATGCTTCTAAGTCTTCCAAGTTCACCTTGCCAGGTAAGTCTCTAAAGCTTCCTACAAATTCCAAATCATCCCATCCTCTCCCAGTATGTTCTGTACTCTCCTACAACTCTTGAGTTTCAACCAGTGTATCTTTATCAAAAACTGTTTCCTTTCTCTGTGATAGAAACATCCTATTCCTTCAGATCTAACCCAAAAAATTAGCTGCTCTTCCACGAAGACTTTTGTACTTCTCCACCAGCAGACTTCTGCTCCCCTCAACCCCAGTACCTGTTACTGTCTTTTAATCTGCCCCTCCAGGTAGCAGTCAGTATGCTGCAAGTCTCCCTCCTTGATCAGACCATGAGCTTCTCTGCAATGTAGGAACACTGAATCCCTGAATAAAGAGATTTGAAAGCCCACCCACATGTTGCCTTGTCAAATAACAAGGATATAGAAAGGTGTAATCGTTTTTGAAATATCCTCAGTATGAGGCCTATTTCCAACTTTCCTGGTGAAATGACCCTAAGGTGTGTATAAGGATTAAACCAATGAAAACTGAGCTCTGACTTGAGTTACTATGTATGTGGTCCAAGCCTGCTGGCTGGTACCTTGAGAAGCTAGGAACAAAAGGCACCAGGACAGGTGAAGGTTCCAAGTAACCGTCACTCACACTGGCATATCATTCACCCAGCAGCTTTCTGTTTGCTGACACAAAACAAAGCAAACCTCAGATGGCCACACTCTGTAGTCCAGTGAGCTGTATCTGCTCCCGAGGCCACTTGCTGAATGAGAAGAGTGTGATTTACATTCTCATGAATCCCCTTCTGTGCTTATTTCTCAGTGGTTGCTCAATATTTGCTGGACAACAGAATTCTTTATTCAGAGTCTATACAAATACAGGTACCTTCGAAAGTGCAATGTTACTGGAGAGAAAAAAACTGAGTGGATATAAAGAATAAGTACTCCCCATTTTCCTTACAGGGTGTCATCCAAGCCAGTGTTTACATTTTATGATTCCATCAACAGCTAGAGATGAAACAGTAGCAAATAAAGACAAAGTTAACATCCAGGGAACTGAAATTAATACACTTGCACCTCTCTGCTGTTGCTTTCTGAACAATTTCATAGTTGATACATGATATTTTAAAAAATTCAGTGACATACAAAAATGGCTGGGAATGATCAGGAGGCCTTTGCTTTCATCTTGGACAGCAGTACCTCATTCTTGCGGCCCTCCTACAAGAGAAACACAGAGGGTGTTGAAAACAGGTGGCATTGACATTAGCAACCATGCAGGGCCTGTATGGTCTGTTTTTCTCCCAAGTGCCACGGGAAATGCCTTGTGGCCAATTAAACCATACCTCTTGCATGTTTTGTAAAACCAAATGAACCATCACCAGTATGGAGAAACTTCCCAATAATCTGCTGAGCTACATACAAAGCCAAAACAGGTATAATGCTGCTCAGTTTTTAGGCTGTCGGATTAAAGACAGAATAAGATCAGGAACTACATTCTGAAAGACTTAGAAGTTTCCAAAATCTTCAATGGGTTAGAAGCAAAAATGCAGCCAACTATCCATCAGTTATGGTGAGAACTAAGAAGGGGCCTTGGAGGCATGACCCTAAGGGAGTAAGATACGGAGCCCTAGTGTATATATAGGGAAAAACAGAAAAACAAAAATATACACATACTCTTAACAACAGTGAAAGTTAGGCCTATGGCTTTAACAAATAATTTCATAGGAAAAACTATTCATAAGGGATACCCCACATCCCATGAGCTCTACAAAGTCTGTAACTGCACATGCTGAGGGATATCATTGAAGGAAGACACTGGTACCAACCCTTCCTATGAAATCTAGTGTGCCAGGGAATGAGTTACCTTTTACATCTTTTTTTTTTTTTTTAATATATATTTTAGGGAAGGGTCTACAGAATGCTCAGGGTCTCACTACTCTATAGGACTCATAGTGATCCACCTGTGTACAGCCTCCCAAGAGCTGGGATTACAGGCGCATGCCACCATGCTCAGTCTCAATCACTGTCTCAGTGCACCCCAGGGGTGGGGGTGAGGGCGGGGGCGGGAGCAGGCCGGCATGGCAGGCTCAGGGATCGAACCCCCGCCCCTGCTACTTTTCTTAGTAGAGACAAAGTACCTGACACCCAAAGTTAAGGGAGGAAAGGTTTCTTCTGGCTCACAGTTTGTAGAAGTTTCAGTCCATATTTGGCTGGCTCCAAGGCAGTGTGGCATGGCAGACAGGCATTGCAGAGGAGAACGAGTTCATGGTGGGCAGAAGGTAGTAAAGCAACAAAGTAGTGAAGAAGCAAGTCCAAGAGACCGTAGCTTCTTTCTTCCCCTTCTACACGTGATCTAGGCTACTGAGTTTATACCTGGTGCCTAACCAGTTAGGGTCTCACTATGTAGATCAGACTCATAGTGATCCTCCTGTTTTCAGCCTCCCAAGCACTAGGATCACAGGCATGCACCACCACGACAATCTCAGTATGCCCCAGGGGCAGGGCCAGCATGGCAGGCCAGGGATCGAATCCCGGGTGCTACGCTCTGCCTAAGCAAGGCTTTAGTCCGCTGAGCTATCTGGCCAGCCCAGTGGACTCTTTACTAATCACACACCCTAAATTTTAGCACCACACATTCAAACACAAGCTATAACATCACTTCTGCATTATTCTTTCTTCCTTTGAAAATCTCTTACTATGCACTTTTTAACACCCTTATTTCTACTGCCCCATTGGGCTCAATACTTCCATTTGGTAGGAAGCCTCCAACGATCATAACCTAATTCATGCCTTTAGAGGCTACACTTTCCTAGAAACCCATTTACTATGGGAGAAAAATTTCCTTTCGCCCCTGAACCATCTGCATTGAAGACCACCAAAGTCAGTTTCCCATCTCTCTGGACTAAGCTCCCAGCTCTCTGGAGGCTCTCTGCTCTTTTGGCGAATGTTGCAGCAGCACTGCTGCAGTGATGCTGGATTCGAGCTTCCCTAAGACAAGTGCTGGCTCATCTCTAGAATGTAGATTTATTCTGCTTTGAAAGCTGAGAATAGCTGGGCTCCTAGGTTGCAGGGGAGCATGGATTCTTTTCTGACACCTTTCAAGCACTTTTTTTTTTTTTTTAAGAGGAAGAGGTAGTTAATGTTTTATGGAGTTTGGAAAAGAAATAAGGTGATATTGGGGCCTATTTGTTGAATTACAAAAATAAAGTTTTAAGATGAATTTTTGAGATTTGCTTGGGGAGATACTCAGTTTAAAAAAGTGAGTGAAAAGAGGGAACAGGTGAAATAAAAACAGGTATTTATACCATTATATTGTTATGTGTTGGCACTTTTGTGTATTTTTGGAGACTTCCATAACAAAAATACAGAACACTAAGTAAGTTTCAATTGTCACTGTACTTCATCTTTTAAAGGAGGCGAAAACAACTCAGCAGCATCAAAACACTTCTGCCAGAAAGTTCCCCACCACAGATACTTTGTGTTGTACCACACTGAGATCATGCTTGAGTTTTTGTGTTTTTTTTTTTTTCAGTAAAAGTATCCTAGGCTGTCACCTGCTATGTGTGAGCACTGATTACATTTCTTGAAATCTCCCAGAAACCTTTTGGTAGATTACAGAATGATACTATTTCTTTAAAGCAATACAAAAAGGGTCCCTGAGGCATCTCCAGGAGAGGGACAATGTCTCATCACCTCTGCTTCTCCTGCTGAGACCACCATGCCTCTTGCCTGTTCTTTCCTGTTGAAGACCACCAGCCAACCGTGTACCATATACAGTACTTCACAGTGAGCTCTCACTCAGGATTATGTCTACAAAGGCAACAGCATAAGAACATAGGATCTGTACTCACCATTCTAGAATTTAAATATTAGTTCTATGACCCTTTGGGAAGCTGGCTTAATGATACAATCAATACAGTACAGTGATTTAGGCGATTTCGGGGTACAGTTTGTGGTGTTTCCCAGCAGATTTTTAATTAACTCTCCTAGAATGAACATGTCAACGTCATTTTTAGAAAAAATCCAATTTTTCTAACCAAAAGGTGTTAATATTAGAGGTGGCTAGGAGGCAGGATGAGGGTATAACATGGTATCTAAATAATTTTCATAGGGCATCAAGTGGTGCTCAATTAATATGGATTAAACCAAACCCAGTAAACACGACTGTGAAAGTGACAAAAGGCCATGTTCCGAATGACATTACTGTGCTTCACATGAAGAAGAATCATTGTCTATTACAAGTTCTAGGGGGCCAGGATGAGGTAAGAATTCAGAACGCAGAAGTAGAAGGATAAATAGGCAGAGGAGAACAAGGTAAAGAGTATAAAGAAGAGAGGATTCTGAGAGAAGACACCACCCAGAATGAGAGTCTGACTTTTCAACTCTTTCTACCAAAAGGAAACCTTAATCTAGAATTCACTGTATGAAACAGAAAAACAGCAGAATTACATGGGCTGAGAGTATAGGTGGAGACTGGGACTAGCCAGAAAGCCCCATAGCCAACTCCTCTTCATTACTTATGGTGGCCTAAATTCTCGCAGTGGAGCTAGTGGGAGAAAATTTAAGATTTTGGGATGCTGACAAGTAGTTGCCAATTTGCCAAGTAAGTGATTAAAAAAAAAAAAAAAAAAGACTAATAATTACCATCTCTTAAAAGGCAAATTTTAACACTGCCCCCCAGAGTTCTTTTAAAAAGTAAAATATTTTTAAATAAAATGTGTGAAAACATTATATAACCTCACGCCCACCCCCTGCTTTGGACTGAAGATAACTTAGGCATGGGCAAGAATCTGCTTCTGAGGACTTGGTCTCTGAAGTCATAATAACTGGATAATAACTGGCCTGTGTAGGAGGACCACGGGGGAATCTTGAAGATCAATCACTTGGGTCACCTTAAGCCTTCAGCCCTGAGCATGCAGTGCAAGCATGAGCTTTTCCATTTTGTTGTTACTTGCTTTGACTCTACCTATCTTCTACCACTTGCCTTCTGGTGCTACTCTGCCAAAAGGGCAGTGCTGGCACGTCTAAGCAACCCCTGAAATGTAATTCTCTCTCGGCCTTTTTGCGTCTTAGTTCTTTGGGATTAAGGGAAGAAAGCTTTCCAGAGGGCAGCAGCATGTCCTGCTTGTTCCCTGTCTCTTTTCTCAATGGCGCTTCTTCAGCTCAGACCTCTCTGCCAGTCACTCCTTGCCCAGCAATGCCCTGCGCTGCCTCACAGCTACCTGCTCTTGCTTTCTCCTGTGTTCTTGCTTTTCTAAGACTGAGTTCTATTCAGTTGACAGAATCCTTCCCTGACCATGTCATTGGAATTGGTTTCCTCATATGGTAAACTCTGAAGTTATTTAGTATACCCCTTTTTTTTTTTTTTTGCTCCCAGTGCCTTCAGGGCAGGTTTGGCTGGCTTGAGTTGTGGGGATCAAACCACAGCAACCTGAGCCTGACTGCTTTGTTGAAGCAGCCACTTACAGAACTGAGCTAAGGGGCAGGCCCCCTGGCATATCCTTTTTTATCAGAGTTTCTGATTGTTTTTATTCTTTAGCTTCTTATTTTTCTCTCCCACCAGAATGTAAGCTCCCTGAGAACAGCAACTAATTCTGTTTTACAACATGGTTTATGTCTAGGAGTACAGCAGGAGCTGGGAAAATATTTAAAAGGATGTGTGATTTTGAAATGCCTGTGGTTACAATTCCCAAAAATTAAAAATCACACAAAGGGCTGGTGAGATAGCTCAGCAGTCTAAAGTGCCTGCTTAGGCAAGTTTAGGCAGGCACAGGGGACCGCAGTTTGATTGCTGGCACCCTGGCACCACATGCCATGCCAGCCACCCCCCCCCCAAAAAAAAAAAAAGAAAAAGAAATCACACACAGAAAAGGGACAAGTAGAAAAGAGAAAAATGGGAGGGACAGAAGACAGAAAGTCTTAAAAAATAAGTAGGAACAAAATTACTGCCACAAAAGATTATTATTATTTAGATCAAGCACCAGGAGGCAACCTAACTTTTGTATTTCCAAGGACTCATGGATTCAGATCAGGAAGGTGGAGGGAGTTCCTGGAAATAAAGCTAATGAGATTCTGGCATGTAAAAAGAAGTCTGCCTATTTGTCTCTCTTTTTGTGAGAAATCTAATAATAAGGCAGTCACAGGCCAGGGAGATGGCTCAGTAGAATAAGTACTTGCCTAGCAAGCACAAGGGCATGAGTTCAATTCCCCAGTTCCGCAAAAATAAATAAATAAATAAATAAATAAATAAATAAATAAATAAAACATCTCTCACTACAACATGATTCTGTTTAACAGAACATTACTCCAATAAGGCAGTCACTTTTCTCTCTGGAAAAATGAAGACACCCTATATCCAAATGAAGAGAGGAAAAAAAGGGAGGGGAGACAAAATCTAGTTGGATGCTGGGTGCTAGTAGGAGCCAGTCACAGTGCTGGATGTTTTCTCTCTCCCATCTGACCCAGAGAACCATCAGGGAGGTAACTGGGGCTTGTATGGACTGGATCACTGCCAAAGGGCACAGCTGCTAAGTGGAAAAGGCAGCGTCCACACCCAACCCTGCCACATTTCAGAATCTTCTCTCTTGCAACTCAGATTCTCTAGGCCATCCCCATCCTGAAAATGGTGGGAGGGAAGATTCATTCTCTATGTAAATCCATAGGAAACACTTTCCCAGTGGACCATGATATGGCATAATGAAGCCATTTTACCTGTGAGTTTAACAGGCTTTCTAAATGTTAGGAAAATGAAAATAAAGATGTGATGTGTCTTAGAACATCTGGCTATGGTGGTATGTCAGTTTACAAATCTAACTTGTTCTATGATTCTGAGGAAGATGGCTGTATTTGTGCAGGGAAGATGGCCATAGCTGTGCTTGTCACTTGATGAGCAGTTTGAACAGAAGCAAGATTTGGCCTCATGCTTTTATTTGCAAACTGAATTATTTGCGAACAGAAGCATTCCGGAACTGAGGTCTTACTATAGATCCTAAAGATGGGCTAGAGAGCAGTGCAGCCTTCAACTACGCAGATGCTACACTGTCCTGGAAGATCCCACCACCCACTTGCTACTTCTCACCACGCACAAGAAAACAACACAAAATCAAAATCAAAATCAAAACAAATAAACCCTGCTTTAACTTTGAAAGGCTCATATTTAGGTGAACATAAATCTCTTTTTCACCTTTCCATGTCTTGGAAAACCTTACTCTTACCTCTTTGAACTCTTTCACAGTCTTGAAGTATAGTCTCTGTTTCTCTAGCAGTTCCAAATACTGGTCATTCAACTGGTCTCTTCTCATTTTGTTCTCTTGCTTCTTCTTCTCCATCTGTTAAAAACATTTTGGGAAATAGTGGGTGATACAAAGGCATTCTGACAAAGGCTGCTGGCAGCATACAAATGGCAACCACTAACATTTTCATGGATTCCTTTCCAGTACTTTGCTTCTACAAGTTTTTGAGGTTAGCTGAATTATTTGTATATTACATAATCTATAATTTATTCAGAAAAATAAATTACATGTGGATGACACATAATTTGGTTCTTGGCAGCTACTCAATCAAAGCAAAGTCCTTTATTTATTGAACAGTGATCCATGACAATTGTTTTTTGTCACTGCAAACAACTTCACAATGAACAGAAATAGCAACAGCAGTGATTTTTATCTGGGGGCCTTTTGCCCTCCAAGGACATGTGGCAATGTCTAGAGGAAGTTCTGACTGTTGTAACAGTGAGAAGGTGCTCCTGGTATCACTGGGGGTGGGGACAAAGATGCTGCTAAATATCCTACACTGCAGAAAATACCACCATAAAGAATCCTCTAGCCTTGTGTTGAGGTTGAGAAATCCTAATTATAGCTAATTTATTGTGACTAATTTCATGCTGCAAACTTTTTATAATTGTATTTTTAAAGCTGTACAATATTCTTGATCATTGCTTACTTACCTATCTTTCTACAGTTGGAGAATGAAGGTATTTCCAGGATTCTGATTTCATAAGCAGAGTCCAGACTTTGATTTAAGGAGGTTTATCTAAGGTACTGTATGCCTATAGAACACCTATAGTTAGCAGTGTACAAGGCCATATCCTGCTCTCACAGGGTACGTTTAGAGACTATATTAAAACAGCACATAATAGACACATCTTAAAATTCTCAGGCGCTATGAGTTCCCTGAAGTAAACAAAACAGGTAGGGAAGGCACATGGTTTCTGCAGACCGAAGGGCAATGGAGCAGTCTGACCCAGGTGTGTGCTATATTTTCTGAAGATAAAATCAGAACATCAGCCAGCCAAAAAGAGGGCAGAAAAAGTTATGGTGCAGACCCAGTGTTTGTTGAATGAATCATGAGTGACACCTCCCCTGGCTTCACTCATGCCTGATGGTGATTTTGGTTCCAGGAATTAAATTCAGAACCTTGTGCTTGCCAGGCAAGCTCTGTGCCACTGAGCTATATCTCTGGTCCTTGATGGTGATTTTGAAATGGAATTTATAGTTAGTAAGCACAAGTTATAGATCAATTGGCTATAAGTTATCTTCACTACTTATACCCAGGGCCTCCCTCTATTGACCTCAAAGGTCAGTATGTAACCTGGCATTTCTAAGACCTACCAACTGTTCAAGGGGTCCAGCACTCATAGGTCCAATCCAGGCCCTATGTCAGCTCCTGAGTCAGGACTCTGTGTCCTCCTCTTTCTACTGTTCTACATATGGACACCAAACAGCACAAGGACCCTGCTGCACTCTGCTAGGATTCTGGTGTGGTAACCCACCTTTGTGCTGGTCTTCCCAAAGTAGGCAGTCCCTTCTAGTGATATTGATGATGCCCTGCTGTACTCAAGGCCAGAGGCTGCTCCTGCACTCCTAACATCAGCCAGGTACAATTACCTCTGCTGTTCTTCCTGGACCCCAGTTCCCCAAGCAACCAGACATCCCAAGGTAGGGCCTCACAGCCAGGTCCTCCCTCTTTCTAGAGGTGGCTCTAGAAAGGCCTCTCCTTTCTTCTCAGTGCTTTAACAAAAATCTTGCCATGATCAACAATGTTCTACTGATGTAAACAAGGCCCTTGACAGGACTAAACAAGAAAAAGGGGATAAAAAGGAAGGACCATTTTGTATCTGTATATACAGAATAGTTAGGATAGATACACAGCTACTTTGCTTAATTCAATGAGAAGAAAGATTTGTACTAATAGTGTTTGGACAGGATATCCTGTCTGCTTCTTGTACTATGGATAACCACTAAGAAGATAACAATGTACAATGTATTAACTATTGAAAATGTCCTATTAATCAGCTTTGAAACTGTCTCATTACTTGTGTCTAAATAAAACAAAATAAATTAATTAAAAAAAACAAAAAACAAAAAACAATGCACTTGAGTTACAAATTTATCTAGGACTTACTATGGGAGAATGTGGCAATGTAGTAAGGGGATGGGCTTGAGGTCAAGGGTTAGAGTTCAAATCACATGTTTTCTATTCTGTAGATTATGGGTAGACTATTTCAATTTCTGAGGCCCTTCTTAGCTATAAAATCAGCACTTTATCACCTAGATCACAGGTTTTGATATGAGGAATATGTGTTATTAACTGTTAAGTGGATGACACATAATTTGGTTCTTGGCAGCTACTCAATCAAAGCAACTTTTCTTAAATTTAATGTGCTAGATAGTGTTAAAGAGTCCCTTTTTCAGAAAATGAGCTTTCCCTCATTCTACATTTGAGTATTTTTATACTTGCCTTATTTAATACCCTTTAACCTTTTTAAATCACTCCTACTTCTCACCCAGCTCAGGAACTCCAGGGCTCATATGCTGAGTACTTGCTCATGGTATTCCTGAGATCCAAAGATCATACCTCCTACAGGTAATGCCTTACCATGATTTCCTTTTTACTCAAAAGTCCTAAGATAGAGCCAGGAATACAGCTCAGTGGCATAAGCACCTGCCTGGCAAACACAATGTCCCAAGTTCAATCCCCAGTATCACAAAAAAAAAAAAAAAAAAAAAAAAGTCCTTAGAACAAATTCTATCACTTTTACTCAGTGGTGGCCTATCATCCTCTGACAGCCTAGACCCACCAGTTCTGCGGTTTCTGCCTTTGGGACAGACAGACTCAACTGCCACATCCATGGAAACAAAATCCATCATAGTATCATTAGAAAGTTATGTTTTTCTTTTTAAATAAACATGACATCCATTCAAATGAGTGCTGCTGCTCAGAGGAGACCAGCTGATTCCACTCCAGGTGCCAATCAATATTCAAACCCTATATGGATCCCTATTTTAGTACTGCTTTTAAAGTTCACTGAATGAATTCACTCATTCAAAGAACGGTTCCTGAGAGTCCACCACAGATCAAGCGCTAGATCAGCCAGAGGACAAAGACCTGAGCGAGTTTGCTTTGCTCTGGCTCCCCTCACCCACAGGTCTCTCCACCATGGAGGAGACAGAGATAACATAGCAGCACCTTTCACTGGCCAGCACTGAGGTAACAACAGCATGGGGCTGGGGACAGCAGAGAATGAAGCAATCAGGCTTATTGTTTTTTCCCCCAAGAACACAGCAAAGGAAGGGGGAACAAAAACAACAAAGCCTGGTAAACTTCTGCTATTCTTTCATAGGACCAAGGGCACCTCCCTGAGAAGCAGTAGCAGGAGACCCAGGGTGTCCACTGGATTTTGGACAGTCAAGTTCCATCTACTTTATATCCCAGATCATCAGGAAAGGACTCCATTTACTCTATCCTGCCTAACATGTAACTGGCATGTGCTGACTCATGTTTGCTGCCATTTTTGTGGCTGAATAGTGGCAGCAATCATGCTTCTTTCTCACTAATTATACTTTTTTCTCCTTTGACATTACATCATTGAAGTAATTGAAATATTAATGACATTTTTCTACAAGGAAAGGAATATGGAGTACTTTATACCCTTAACTCATCCTTATGAGATGAGATTACAGGAAGCTTGTGTTATAAAAGATTTCTTTTTTTCAGGATGACAGGACCTATGGGCAATTCTTTCTTCCATGTATTTACATACTGAACTCTCTGAAGCACTCTGCCTCAAGTCCTTGAGAAGAAACATTTTAAGTCCCCACAGATTTTACTGTTGAGTATAAGGACCACTACAGTTTGTTATCTATTTTATACAGGACCAAAAGCAAGAGATATTTGGAAGTACTCACTAGGACTGTCTGGAAGTATGGTAGGAAACTAGACCTTTGTGCATGCCATCAGTGTAAGAGGTCAGCAAGTCTTTCTATTGATAAAGTGGGCCCACATTAGGTTCCAGATAGGCAGAGACACCCCATGTTGCCACCAGATTCAGCAGCTCTCTGCAAAACTTGGTAGGATCCTGAACCCCTTGTAGGCTCCTCTCCATTCCATTCTCTTTTGACTTTTAAGGTTCAAATGCCTCTCACTCTAGCAGAAATCAGTTCAGTGATTATTTGCCTCTTTTATAGGGAGGTCCTTAAAAACCAAAATATTCTAGATCCCAAGAATCCTAAGGAATGAAGTGCTAGTGAAAGAATGTCACAAAGCAGAGATCCAGTGAAGAGATGACTGGCCAAGACAGGAAGCCAGCTGGGGAAAGATGGTCTCTGCACCTATAACACAGAGTAGCAGTATTCATTGTGGGGGCTCAGGAGGATCAATGGGTATTTAATATGAGGGAGCTATTGACAATGGCAGCCTTTGAACCTCACTAAGCAGGGTGCCTTGCACAGGTCTTACCCCTGCAGTCAACTGCCTAGTGGGACAAAGGAGTGTCGCCAGGATGGATAACACACTCCATATCAGCTCCCAACCCCTACAGAACTTACAGAAAAGAAGAAAAGAAGTCAGCTGACCTTCATCCTACTTTGCTTAATTCCTTCTACGATTTGTTCCATCTGACGTAAAAACTGGTCCCGGGCAGCAGAAGAGGCCATGGCTCTGAAAGAACAGCAGGATACAGTCAGCACACAGAGAGAGGGGAGGTATGAAGGAAGCAGCCCCATGCTGAGATGGTGGCCTACGAATAGGTGGCCTTTGCAAAGAACAATGGACGCAGAGGGGTTCCTGGAGCCCAGGAAAGTAAGGAGTCTAAACTCTGAGGAAGCACAAAAATTAGCCTGATCTACTATTCATCTTTTATTTCCTTTTTTTTTTTTTTTTTTTTTACAACTTACTTGACTAATACATGTTTTCTTTAAAGTAAAATGAGACTACAAATAACAGATATTATTTATCTTAAATTATGGCATGTATTGCTTAACACGTGAATTTAGTGTTTAAAAATCTGGTAATTGGAAGACATTGTTCAAGATTTGTAAACACGTTCCTAAAACCACAGCTTGAGCAGCTGGGTCCTATTGCTATAAGCAGCAGCTAAAAGAGTTAAATAGCTGATGTGCCAACATATTTCCTCCTTCCCTCTAGCTCTACAGAGTGGGAGCACATAAAGGAACTGAGATTTCTTCCAAAGGGTTGGTGGGCTGAACAGAACTCTTCACAAAGACCTTCAAATTACTGGCTCTATTATCAGAAAAGAAAAATAAAGCACTTGATTTAGAAATGTCATAAGACAGGAAGGCACTAACTGAGTCTGAATCTTAGCATGGACCTGCAGTAGTTAGGATTTTGTTTTTATTTAGAAAAGACACTTAAAATCTAATTCATAAAGATCTCAGTCTTAATGTGTCCCTGCTCACCAAGGGCCACAAGAGGTTTGTGCTAGAAAGAAGATCTGCTATCCAGCGAGCCATCCCTGGGCTGCTGGGATGGGGGCTGGGACGGTCCATCAGGGACATGCTTGAAGGCTGATACGATTTGGGTACAAGTGGGCCTTCCATCCAATTTTTGGAGGGAAAAAATTCATATTCAACAAAGTACTATAGAAGATGTATATTACCTTAAAAGCAAAATCTACTGCAAGGTTTAAAAATCTTTTACAAATTATACAGGTTTCATTATCTAAATTTTAGACCTTAGGAACAAAGGGTATTAATCAGATCTTACCAAGACAAACAGATATATAGTGAGATTAGAATAACTACGTAATCAAATTATTTGAATGTTAACCTTCTCAACTGAATTCTTTCTTGGCATTTTTAAAATTTATTCTAATCATTTCATTTTTGGAAGAACTCAAACAATGTAAGCCAAAAGGGCCGGCCAAAGAACTCAGCAGATTATAGCTCCTGCAAGCAGGCGCTGGGGCCAGGGGTTCAATCCCTGGGCCTGCCGTGCCGGCCTCACCCCTGGGGCATGCTGAGAAGGCAATTGAGACGGCTGGGCATGGTGGCGCATGCCTGTAATCCCAGCACTTGGGAGGCTGTAAAGAGGAGAATCACTATGAGTCTGATCTAGTAGTGAGACCCTGAACACTCTGTAGACCCTACCCTAAAATACCGGAAAAAAAAAAAAAAAAAAAAAATCAAACAATGTAAGCCAAGATACATCTGCCTTTAGCAGAAAGACAGAAAGTACCTGAATTACATTCATGGCATTACATCCTGGGTCTACCTTTCTTTGCCACACTATGGTAGTGTGAGGTGGGTGAACACAAAACACAGGGTGAACAGAGTACCTATGAGAAGGATGGACAATACTTACTGTGAGAAGTTCTCATGAATTGAATTGAGTAGACTAATCTGGGGAAAAACAAAACAAAACATGAATCTCTAGAAGGCTGAAAGATCCTCATACTACCTCAGTCATAGAAAACTTGTTTCCTCTCCACATATTGTTTCCAAAAGGAGCAAAGCCCTTATTTATGCAGATTAACATTAACAGGAAAGACACAACAGAGGAACATGTTTTTACTCTCAATTTTCCTCAAGGAATATCCACCTACTCATGGGAGACTTCTTTTCCTATTATGCATTACCACAGGTCACAGGAGAGGTCTTTGAAGGGCCTTAAGTGCCAACAAAGCAGACGCTAAGCTAATGCCAGGGCACTTTGGAAAGCTGCTACTACAGCCAGTTTCTATACTGTTGAATACCACAGTTTCCAGGGCTATTGGCACAGGAGGAGTTAGCTGTGATAGACTAAGAACACGGTACTGAGCCTATACGTTTCCTCAGAACTCCCTAATGTGTCCTGTGGCTGCTCAGTTCTGAGATCTATCTTTCACAGCTCCATTTCCATAGGCCCTCTGTAGTTCCCATGGTAGAAGCCTCAGTGATGCATTCCAGCAATATATCCTGGAAAATCTCATAAGTCTAGATGCCAGAAACCTGCAACAGTTCCATGTGTGAATTTCAGGTTCATAGTCTATAATGTAGAAATAATAATCTTGTTCTTAATACTCCAAAAAGAGGTTTTAAAGCTAAAATATTCCAGGCATAAATGCATCTAGAATAAAATATACACCTCAAATGCCAAGTTCTGTGTTACTATAGTTTGGAATTTAAAACTCAGTTCAGACTCCCCCTTCTCTGCTCAATGCTACAACTGTTAAAAGAATATAACAACTTTAATCACTGCTTGTGAAGGAAGCCCAATGGGGTTCAATACCACTGAGAAGGAGCTGGCCCATCCCTAAGTTAGGGCTGGCAAGCCTTTCCCTCCCGGGGACAAAGTCCAGGGTGTAGGAATAAGCTATCCCCCAGGTCTGATACAAATTTTGTCAAATGTACTTATTTATTCAAACATTTATCAAATGCCTGTTATGTGCTTGTTGTTCAAGGCCTGGATATAGAGAAACATAAAACTTAACCCCTCCTTAAGGAATGAGTTCGATTTGATTTATAAAAGGCAATATAGGGGCTGGGGAGATGGCTCAGTGGAATAAGTGCTTCCCTGGCAAGCGCAAGGGCATGAGTTCAATCCCTGGTTCTGGGGAAAAAAAAAAAAAAAAAGGCAATATAGGTGAGAAAAATTATAGATGCTTTGATTTGAGTTCAGGTAGCAGGTACATCTATAATATTGTTCTCATCTATTAAAGTACTTACAAAGGTGCTTTTATTATTGCAGGAAGAGGTCTATCACCTCAAGGCATGGGGTGGGTAGGAATTTATATCGAGACTCTACCACAAGCAAGGAACTCTATTTCCTCATTCTACCTTGATCACAATATTCTCATGTGCATCACTATGTGCAATGTGACACTCATCTTAGAGGTAAGGAAAAAGAGGTCAAACTGAAGTTCAAACACAGCCCCGAAAACTGTACTCTCTTCACTACACAGTGTTATGGTAAAAACTGTCTAGACGGTTCTTTTTTATTAAACACAGCTGCATATGCTACCCTGACCATCCATGTCTCGTACTGCGGAGTTCTGAACCATGAGTGGATTTAAACTGAGTGGGAGGGTCGGAGCACAATGAAGGAGGTACCAGTGCCCGTGTCAACTCTTTGTCTCTGCTCTGAAGTTTCATTTCTGTCTTTGCCTGCTACTGATAACTAAACAACTACTTTTTCCACCTAAACTATAAAAGACCACTCATGTACCCCCACTTCATTCAGCAGGTTCCTCCCTTCTTTTAAAACTCTTAATTTGCCCAGCTCCAGAGCTCACAGGATATTTCTTTTCAGGATGGCATTTCTCATGGGCCCTATGAAACAACCATCTACCAGCCTCACTTCACCCCAGAGAATCTGAACTTTCTGGTGATGAATCTGTGATATACTTACACTGAAGGTGTCCATCCCAGCATACGTCCCTTTGAAGTTCCTGGGGTCAACTGCTCTTTTCATTAAATTACTTTCTTTTCATAAAAGTTCTTACCTCTTTTTCCAAATAAACCTTTTTGTCATCCAGGGTGTTATATAAAGTGAAGAACTGCTTGGTTTCTTTGTGCACTGCTGAAACTATAAATGGAAAGGAATCAGCACTTGAGTACTAACAGTTAACAGACTACCCTCAACACTCTTTCACCAATGAGGAACAGCGCCAGATGCAGGTCTATCTGGGTGGCAAACCTCATGGTATACAAGATGCAATCACTCTGGAAACTTTTAAAAGCTCAGGACCAATTAAAATGGAACGCATGCAACTGGAACTCAGGTGATGGCACTGTATAGCCGGTCATAAACCACTGGCATAAATGAACCAGTCACCACTTCCCCATTTTTCTGAAGAATTAGATTGGGGTTGAAGATCTTTTTTTTTTTTTTTTTGTATTTTAGTACAGGGTCTCACTACATAGATTGGACTTATAGTGATCCACCTGTGTTCAGCCTCTGAAGAGCTGGGATTACAGGCATGCACCACCATGCCCCATCTCGGTGTGCCCCAGGGGCAGGGCCAGCACGGCATGGCACACTGGGGATTGAACCTCGGCTGCTGTGCTCTGCCTAAGCAGGCGCCTTAGTCTGCTGAGCTATCTGGCCAGCCAAGGACATTTTACAATAGTAATAAAAATTGCTATGTTCTTGAAAATGGCTTTAGTGTACACATGTCTTTAACAAATGACTTTGAAGTATGGCATTCACTCTGAAATATACAGATACAAGGTATTACTACTGTTATAAGTCTTAAAGCAGGAAAAGAAAAGTTAATGGGTAAGATTTAGATTAAAGCAAAAGACTATTTTCTGGTGAAAACTGTTACCACTGATACCCTATCTCTAACCGTCTGAGTCATGTCTAAAGACTGGCTGAAAGTTAAGGCTGCTCAGTGAACAAGATGTGAGGAAGAAGCAGAACCTGAATGCAATGAAGACTAGTGCTCAAGTCTGAACCAGGAAGGGTATCAGAGAAGCCAGGTCGGGAACTCTGAGGGACATTCTGATCCTGATGAGACGTGGCCACTGATTCAGGATGAGGGAATCAGTGGCCACATCTCATCAGGATCAGAATGTCCTCAGTACTGGGTGAATGTGGTGCTCTAAAGGTAAAGATCACAGCACCAAGATGTCTGTAGCAAGGAGCGGTCAGTGAGAGCCCATGCTCCATGTGAAGTAGGCACCTAACTGGAAGCGCACGGGAAGGCCATGTGGCTGACCACAATGAGGACCAGCTTGGTGCCGGATTCTCAGAGCTCCACTGGCAGTGAGAGAGCATGTGCTGTTCCTGGGGTTCCAATGATGAAATAAGGTTTTCCTGGGGTGGGATTTGTGGTCGGCACTCTGGTCCATCCTCCACCACGCTAAAGTGAGACAGAGTCCCAGGCCTCCTGTCTTTCCCCAACCATGAAAGTCTGTGTGGTCAATGCACCTACTCTGGCGGTAGAGTTCAATGAATCTCTTCTGATACTGTATTAACTCAGCTCGGCTGGGCACTTCATCAATCTTGCGATGCAAAATTGCTATTTCTCGATTTCTTCGAGCCTAGAGGCAAAAAGGAGAGGGAAACAACTTACTTGGTACAAAGCCTTACATATCCTCTGGGGGACTAAAATACTGCCCCAACCCTACCTGAGTTTAATCACATGCCCTAGAATACAGGAAGAAAATTCTGTCTTTGGCTTGAGTGCCCCACCTGAGATTCTGATCAAGTTCTAACAGGAGAGGAGGTATGCTATGAACTGAATCACAGAAAGTCAGGGTAGTACACCAGAAAGGAAGTATTTTGAATGGTATACACTTCCATTCAGAGAGGACACCAGGCCCCAGAGGGCTCCTCTCATGCCCAGTGGAGGCTGGCAATAAAAGGAATGCTTCCCAGATAGCAAGAATTTATGTCACCCTGCTGACTCCATAAATACATGCTAAATTTCTCAGTCTGGCTTAAAAGCTCTATAGAATATATTTTCACTGCCTCCCAATGGACTGAGGAAACTGCCCAATGACTGACTATATGTGGAAGATGGTGCAGTACGGGGTGCACAGGGGTCGGCTGCCACAGGAATGCATCTCTTGCATTACTCTTACCACCTGATATTTATGGTCTCAGGACTCAGAGGGCTCTCAGTACTGTTCTTCAATGTCTTCATTTTTCCCATTCATAAGGCTGCTACACTTGAGCAGCAGATGCAAACCTTCATTCACTGGTGAAATACAGACCTCCAGACAAGAGGACCCCTGACCTCCCAGGAGGAACACAGCTTGGCCAAAGAAGAACACACATGCATTTCTCTGACCAGCACTGTGGGGACTCTACATTTGTCAACAAGAACTGATGGTGGGCTTTCCCTGAAGAATCATAAGATACAACTATGTTCTAAGAAGCAGAAGATGAAGGACTGTAAATTAGAGCCCAGCTTGTGCAATTTAGTAAGGGCTGGAGATGTAGTTCAGTGCAAAGGCCTTGGGTTTAAGCCTTTGAATCACTGACACCAACCCCCTAAAGTATAACTACTTTATGCACTGTATTTATAATCCTTCTTTCCCTATCTGGCCTAATCTTACCCCCTCCTCATTAGCACTTAAATATGCTCAAGTTCTTCACTTTTTAAAAATGTTCTTCTGTAAATATCACCTTCAGCCTTCAATCTTGCTCTGTTTTTACAGCAACCTCACTGGCAGCCATGCATACACAGAGCTTCTACCACCCACTCCAGGCACCCTTCAACCACTGCAGCTGGGCTTTCTTCATGGATTGTCACTGAACTACTCCTGACAGTTCATGAAGCCTTTCTCAGCTACACACCCAAAGGAAGATTCCACTTCCAGCTCTCCCAACTCCCAGAAGCACGTCCCATCCTTTCCACTGAGCTCTGCTCAGCCTGTGGGAGTTACTCTCATTTCCTACCCATCAGAGTTTGGTCTCATCCACATTTTTTGCAGTTCGTCCTGACACGTGCTCACTGGAATCTAGACTCCCATCCATGTTTTCATAAGTTTCAGCTATCACTTACACAGTGTGGGCACACAGATATTCACCTCAAATAATTCTGAATTGGATGCAACAAGCTATCACTTCTTGGATATTTATTCTTGCTTGGAGCCCCCAGATATATCTCATTGGCATTTCCATTCCTATTTCTTGTTATACTTTTTTGCAGTGAGTAGCACATGTACCTACCACTGTGTCAGAAACCCCCACATCACCCATGACTACTCTTTCTCCATGCAACTGCCAAGTTCCCTCACAAGCAGCTCCTCACTCTACCCTGGCAAGTTATTTCATGCATCCCCCTGCCACTGCCTGACTCAGGCCCTCAACAAGCTATTAATTTTAGTGCAGCTTCCTTCTACTCGGATAGAAGCTGCACTCAGTGACTTGGGGCAAGTACTTAATCTATTTGAGTTACTTTTTCATGCAGAAAACAAGCCTAATATTTACTTTCCATCAGGGTAAAGTTCAATTCAAACCAGTGATAGTGAAAGTAACAGCAATGTGAGATGCTCTTACTGACACAAATCATGCAGTGATACTCCAGATAAAAAGGACACTAGTAAACAGCAGCTTCCTTACCTGTTCTTGCTAGATCTTATATACTGACTTCTTGGCTGTGTAACAGGACATTTGCACCTAGTTAAGATGTATTTGTATTTGTTTGTTCTTGCTTTACTCACCTGTAGTAAACGGATCTTGTAAAGTTTCTCTTTTTCCATATTATACCGCCTGTCTAGGTCTTCCTAAAAATTAAACAAAGGCCATGATTATCTGGGAATAGAAAACTTTATTTTGTATGGAGTCTTTGGACGATGAGTATTATCATATTTTCCCTATCTTGAGAACCCAATTTTTTTATGTCAAATCACCAGCTTCAAGATCTATTTTCATGTAAGACCCTATATATGTCTTTTAAAGCAAGCTGTAACAATTTTTCCTCAGGCAAGGATCTTGGCTGAATTCAGTATTAAGTGAAGTAACTTCCATACTTATGTACCCTTCTCTCATACTGAAAGAAAAAAAGAAAAGGTCTGTGATAATGATGTGGCAGTTAGAATTTACTGTTTTATGTATCTGAAAATGATTTCTGGTTTTTGTTCAATAAAACAAAAGCCACACATGACTGTTTAAATTTACATGAACTAAAATGTTTTCAAACTTCAATTTTCCAGGTGTAAGACACATTTCAAGTGCTTGGTAGCCGCATATAATTGGTGATTATTGCATTAGTGTAGACACAGAACGTTTCCATCCCTATACAAAGTTCCACTGGAGAATACTTCCATGGAGAAAAGTCACTGTTCATGCACTGAACCAACAGTCGTACCTGGAAGTATTATTTCTTCAGAGAAAGTTACAAAACAAGTCAGAGGTGCCCTTGTCCCCAGCATGTGTGCATCTACACACAAGTGTTAGAATACACATTCACATACCAGGGCTCAGTTATAGGCAACCTCCAACAGATTTCACTATTGGGAGTCCTGAGGCCTATTCTCCTAGCAGGTTATGAAGAAACACCTTAAATAAGACAACACTTAGAGCTTTTTTGCCTTTCCTTTCCTCATCCCTTTCCTTTTCTTTTTCTCCTGGAGGTTTACTACAGACAGACCAGCACAGGCTTGCCCTTCTCAGCTATGAAGACAAAATATTTACAACCTGAACTGAATGAAAACTCACCAGAATGGTGAGCATTAGGGCCATCCTTGGTGAGGTCCCACCTCCATTTGAGGAGCCAGGTCTGTCGAAAGGTACAGTGCCCCTAAAAGCCCAGCAAATGAAGAGATAGCTGGTGAAACTATTGAAGCAGGTCTGAAACCTGCTGAGAGAATGGGAAACTGCCACACGTTCTGGTATAACATTCAGAATGAGCAGGTACTTACATTGTGAGTCATCACAGAGGTCAGCACACCATCCGGCCCTCCATTGGAGAGTGTCTGAAAGGATGAAAGCATAATAAATACCTTTCCTGACAACAGCATATAGGATGGAAGCTGAGAGCCTAATGTAGGAAGGAGATGAGAAGCAGGAAGAATAGTAGAACTAAGAAATACCTTGATGTTTACTTAGCATGTCTAAAGAGAGAACAAAGCAAAGGCCCATATTTTGAGCTTCAGGTTCTAAACTATTCTTCAATGTCTATCAGTTAAACCCTAAAAAGCTAAACTGTACCTCTTTCTAAATGTAAGAACCCTTGTAATAAAATGTACTAAGATGAGGGACTCCTGAAAGTCTATGATCTGTGTAAACTCAGAGGCTGGCTGAACTGATGAATCATGCCTCAAAAGTTAGAAGTTTGAGAAGCAATTGTAAAGACAGACTGTGAGAGTAGATGGTGTAAGACAGCACTGCAATCCTGGCTGTGCAACATGGCCAGGCTGAAATGGGTAAAGAAGTCTTCCTGAGTCCTGGTCTCACCACTGAAGTAGTAGTGTCCTGAACAGCCCAGAGCAGTCAGTAGAGAGTGCCAGGCCCAGCGTGGGACCTCCAAGCTGATGGATGGCTTGGAGAATTCTCGTCTTAACTTCAGAGCTTCAAGGTTTCCTTTATTTAAGAGTGAGGGAGGTGCAACCCATAAGCCATAAGGCAAACCCAAGTCTCATATCCTACTAAGCACAGGGACCCTCAGTTAATAAACTATGAATAAAGTGTGAGATAAGAAAACACAAGCAAAGGAATCAGATTTTCCCATCTCAAATTTTTGATTTAACATTCGATGGAAATCTATGTTTGGTTCCTGGAAGAGCAAGTCTTTTAATCAGAGATCCAGCTGGTCAGATGTGTTCCTTAAATTTAAAATGCTCCTGCAGTCCTGAGGCTCTAACATGAATCCCAGCACTGCTCTCCTCTTTCATGCTCCTTGCTATATATTATGAGTGAGATATACCTCATGGCTAAGGGTTAAATGGGCAAACTGAAAGAAAATTTAAAGAACAAGTGGAATGGGAAATAGCTCGGACAGACACCTCCTGATGGTGGAAGAGGTCAGAGTTGTATAATTCAGTGTCTGGTGCCTGTATTTCCTCCTACTGTGTCTCCTGCTGCCTTTTACCCTCTAAAGGAAAGAAGGAAGACAGGTACAAGCCTAAGAAAGTTGTGGGAGGGAAACAGTCGAGAATATGTTTACAAGCTCAGGTTAAGTGAAAGGGAAGTCCTTTTTGACATTAGAATAGCTTGTCCCATATAGGTCCTAACAGCAGCTGGTGGTCCTAAGGACTAACTCAGGCCTTTACCTTTTCGTCTGGCGCTCTCTCGGCTTTCAGGCTTTCAATTTCCTGTTGCAGCCGCGTCATCTCCTCCTTGAAAAGCAATATGAACTTTTACAAAACAACACAAAGTAGTAACTAGATGAAATTATTTAAATACTATTGATCCAGAAATCACATTACTTTCATTTCATGGAGTTTATGTTGCAAGTAACAAATCAATGAGAAACAAGCTGCTCTGGTTCCAATTTTCAGTCTGAGAGAGTTCTTTTCAGGAGGAAAAGACAGCTGTTCTTCACCTGAAAAGGGCCTTCCTTTTAAAAGGCCGCTGACTTGTGTAGTTATCACTCAGACATGAAATGAGTGAGAAGCTGCAAGGCCGGTTTCAGTTAGGCTTAGCTGCTGCCTCTCCCCATCTCTGCCTTAGCCAAGTGTCTACCCTGCCATCTGCTCTGCCCTAACATTCAGCTTCCTCATGGCTCCTGTGGGACTGGCCTTTTCTCCCTTGAAGCACACCCAACTTGCCAGGCTTATCTGTGGCCTCCTGCTGCAGTCACTGTGCAATGGTCACCTACACCACTAAAATGCAAGCTTCCAGATGGCAGCAGCTTGGGCTTATTATACATAAGGCACACAAGCATCCTAGGTTTCGAGCATAATCTTAGCTTTGTGTGGTATTATCTTCACAAAAGCCACCTGTCAACAAAGTATGATGTACTTTAAAAAATTTTCCAAGATTTTTCTTTACAATTCATTTGTAAATTAGTTACCATCCTCTCCGTTTTGGGGCCTGGCATACAGTTATTAGCTCACTCAGTCTGGTGTCCTCACATGACTGGAATTAACTGTGTGGCTAGGTCTGCTTTTTACACTGTATTAGACAGGATGCCCCGACAGCTCAGGGATGGTAAACTGAGCTTTCACAAAAGTCCTGGTTTGTCTCCCAACACCAAACCACACTTACTCGGCAATGTGCTTTAAACTCCTGTTCCTGACTTTTCAGATTTTCATTCATGGCTACAAGTGCTCTCAAGTTCTGTAGAATACTGAAGAGAAAAGACAAAAAAAAAAAAAAAAAAGACAGATATATGGCAGGCTATTATGATTTTATGTATCATAGCTAAAACCAGAGCGCAGCTAAAAAGGACTTCATTTTTAATTTCTTTTGTCTCTTCCACAAGTGTCTACTGGATTTTCCATAAACGGTAATGATTTCCATTTAATTGATATTAATGTTCACTTATATAAAAGACCATCCAGTAGATCCAAAAGAAACTGCAGATTCTAGAGTTAAAATGTCCACTGCAGAAACATCGATGAGTTTCAATATTTCTGGATATATTTATTTTTTAAAATAATTTTATTGAGAAACAAATAGCTATGAGACAGTATCAAAACCGATTACTAGCAGTTTCAATAATCAATACATTGCATATTGTCTTAGTGGTTATTCATTGCACAAGATGCAGACATGATATCCTGTCCAGAGACACTATCAGAACAAATCCCTCTATTCACTGAATTAAGAGAATACAGCTGTGTATCTGTCCTACTTTGAATACACAGATACCAAATGGTGGTTCATTTGTATCCCCCTTTTTTGTTTAGTGTTGTTAGAAATGGGTATTCCAATGTCATTTAAATATTGTAAGTGTGTGAATTCAGCAAAATATTCCAATATAGTCCAGTAGTCCATAATAGTAGTGGGTTTTCCATAAGACTGGCAATGTCAGAAGTTGTTGAGCCTTTTATAGCTCAGCATATTAATATGGCTTTACTTTTTATGTTTCGTGTTTGAGCTTTTCTGCTGGATGGTAGATAAAGCAAGACTTATATTACAAGAAATGTAATTTCTGTATCTGATAAAGTCAGTCAAATCCCCTCAGGATTTATCCTGAAACCCTGTACCACAGTTTGCAGATCCTTTGTCACTGTCAGCCATGTGGATGAGTCACGACCATTGCTTGGCCAGTTTGCCCTCTGTGACAGCCTGAGAGAATGTGTTCTCTCCATGTGACTCTCGTTAGGCACACTCTGCATCACTGATCACTGTCCTCTGCGGCCCCATAATCTCCTTGATCAGAAAATTTGGTACACAACTGAGTTACATGATGTTACAGTACAGGTTCTCCTCTGTCCTGAGTCTTCACTGACCTTGAAAGGCTAGGGCCAAAATGCTGGCTGTCCTTGCAGCCCTTCTTTTTTTTTTTGGTCTGCAAACTTAGGTTGTTAACCCTCCAGAAGAGAAGCTTATTATTATTACCCTACAACATAGGCAGTTGAGCTTAACCTCACTATCTGTCTGAATATCAAACATCTTAGGCATAACATGGAACAGGTATTTTCCATCAAGTATTGATATGTTAAAC